ATGAAAACCTCCCAAGCTATTGAAATCATCTATTTGGGTTTTCTTACTAGAAATGATAATTTTAGAAAAGTAGAGCAGTCTTGTTAGTAGAACTCTGACTTAGAATCGTTTGTGTAATATCACATTTGCAGATCTCTGTAGTTTTCTTGTCTTTTGGAAATTTTTCAGTTAAGAACAGTGTGATCATGGTTTATATTTAGAAGAATTTCATTTGTTAGAGGTATTATTTTTCTGTTCTCCTTCTGTAGTATGGGTTAGGATACCATTTGTGTTGTTTCCAAACAAGTTTTTGCTGTTCTAATTAAAACTTTTAACTTTGGTTGGCCTTCTATATTAATAGTATTTAAACAAAGGAGTGTTGTGTCTAGTTGGTCAAATTTGCAATGACTGAGAAATAAATAATTTAAGTCTATTTTTAAATCAGACTTGGATGTTTGACATACTTCATATAGTTCGAAAATTTCAAGTAAAGAGTACAGTATTTTTTCTTTATATGTGAATCTGGCTAAATATGAAAAGACTGTTGTGAGAACTAGATGTAAGGACTGTAAGTTGTTTTCTTGTTTCTAATCAAATTGAAAATGGCAAAAGTACTGGGGTAACTATAGGAGGAAGAGAATTGTTTTGTCTTATAGGTAATTTTTTTCCTTGAATTCTTCCTAATTCTTTATCCAAAGAATCTCTTATATTGCCATGATTTGTGATTTTGAAGAATATTGGGTGACAAATATATAATAAATATTAAAACTAGAATTTAAAACCTTATAGCACAATCCAAATTTTGCTCTTTAAATACAGACGTACTTAAGTATAAGTCAACATATGCAGGGAGAAAGTATGCAAAAGCGTTAGTGATGATTAGTCTGGTTAGCATCTTAGTGCCAGTGTAGTTGTTGTTTAGATATGTCTCAGTTGTCAATTAAGCTTGAAAATATTTTTAATACTTTTGTTAAATATATTCCTGTTTATTTCTGCATTTTGATTTGATTCCTATTTATAAATCTTTTAGTCTATAATCCTATAAGTATGCCTTTGAGAATTGTTTTATTTTGCAGGGAATATTTGCAGGAAGGAAATTTGTTAGAAACTAGGTTACTTGTTCATTTTTATTTCTGTTACACTCATTTAAACTGTTGCTTTTCATTTAGATAATCCAACATAGAAACACACATACTAATTTTCATTAATAACTTGTGACTTGTCACTAGAGAAAATTACACGATTAGACATTAGTCTTGTTGGACCCTCAATATTACCCCAGCAGTCTTTTTATGTTTTCTTAGTCAGCTGTTTCTGCTCTTTTCCACTCTATTTCTCTTAGCCTTGACTTCATCCTTCACTCTTTTTTTTCTTTGAGACAGAGTCTCACTTTGCCATCCTTGGTAGAGTGCCATGGCATCACAGCTCACAGCAACCTCAAACTCTTGGGCTTAAACGATTCTCTTGCCTCAGCCTTCCAAGTAGCTGGAATTACAGGTGCCCACCACAATGCCCAGCTATTTTTTTGTTGTAGTTGTCATTGTTGTTTGGCAGGCCTGGGCTGGATTTGACCCCACCTGCTCTGGTGTAAGTGGCTGGCACCCTACCTGCTGAGCTACAGGTGCTGAGCCATCATCTTTCACTCTTAAGAGATGACCTCACTTCTACTTAACAAGGGAAATAGAAACCATCTGATAGGACCACCCTTAATTTTCTACCACCAAATCTGCAAAACCTGTCTTTATTCACACATAGTTACTTCTTCCCTCCTATTCTAATGGAAGAAGTGTTCTTCCTCCTTGGCTTCTCAGGAAGCTGGTTGTGTCTGATCTTCCCCCACCTCTACCTCTGCCATCTCTGTCTATTTTACTTTCAACTTCTTATCTATAGTCTCCTTCACAGCATTTATGTTCTCATAAACCCTTCCTATCCTAAAACAGCAGTCCTCTTTTGACCCTCCCTGTCTCTCAGCTTCTTGCTTTTCCTGCACAACCAGACTTCTTAAAAGGTTTGTACTGCAGCCTCCTACCACTTAGTTCTCTGTAATCATATTTTCATACTGTTCCAACAAAACCATTCGTGCCAAAGTCACTAATGATGTCTTTTTTTGCCAAACCTGTAGTCTGTTTATGAATTTTCATTTGTTTGAGCTCTCAGCCATATTTGTTACTACTGTCCGTTTTCTCCATCTTGTGGCACTCTCCTGTCTTGCTCTGCAGTGCCTCCTACTCTTGGTTTCACTTCTGCCTCTCTGTTTTTCTTTTTGTGATCTCATTCGCTAGTTCTTTAATATTGACATTTCTTAGGGCTTTGCCTTCTTTTTTAACTTAATTTTTCCTCTGCTGGAGTTCTCATTCATTTTTGTCAAGCATTTATATTTTGATCACTCCCAGTGTTTTTCTCTTGAACTCCAAACCTGGAGCTGGAAATTCTCAAATATCTTGAAAGAATTCAAACTGTGTGTATTTAAAATTGGACTTCCCCCACAGAAAATTTAGTCATCTGCGATTATTCCCTGTCTATTTTGGTAAGTAGATCTATCATCCAAATAATTAATCTTATCAGAAACCTGGGACTTGTCCTTTGATACTTCCTTCTCTTGTATCTGTCATATTTGTTCAGTCACTTAGTTCAGACGATTTAAATCTCAGTATCTCTGAGACTTCTCTGATTGCCTTTATCCCCACTGCTGCTCCAGACCATCATTTGAAAACTGATCAGTTGCATAGTGGTAACCAGTTTCCCCACTTTCATTTTTCTCTTCTATTTTCTAGTCTTTAGTTGGAGTGATCTTTTCAAAACATGTATCTAATCTTGTCATCTGCTTGTCTGAAGTCTTTAATAGATTTTCATCATCTTTGGCATACTGAATGTGGTTTACAAGGTTCTCCATGAGTTGGCCCCTTGCTGTTATGTCCCAACACTCTGTGTCATATTCAACTTCTTACAGTTTTCTCAAATATGCCAGTCATTGCCTCTCTGTATTCACTCCATGCCTTTTACCTTGCAGTGTCCTCTGTCTAAAATGGGCAGAAATGTCCCCCACACCTACACACACCCAAACTTGCATACCCACCCAAGTTGAGTTTGTTCCTGTTTGTCTTTTGACTCTTGCCTTAAAATGAACTTCCTGTGAAGACATGGATGAGCATCTAGCTAGAGGTTAAATTCCTTTCCTACTTGATTTTATACCATTTTAAATTCCTTCTTGCATTAGTTACATTTGTACCTGTGTGTCTGAGTCTTTGTTCTGTCTAAGCTGCATGCTCTGAGGGGAAGGACTCTGACACAGTCAGTGCTGTATCCTCATTGCCTCCTATGCTGCCCTCTTCATTGGAGTAGAACAGAATTCTAGTATGCTGTGCATCTAGTTTTGTCTTAACATAAGTAAGTTTCTAATTTTTTTTCAGATTAATATATGGATACAAACAATTAGGTTACATTGTTTACATCTGTTAGGTAAAATCCAAGCTGTAGTTGGGCCTTTACTCAGGGAGGGAGGAGGAAGTTTGATAAGCTCTCACCTTATGGGTACAATGTAAGTATCTGAGTTTATAAGTGAAAATTGTTAAACAGAATAAGATATGGTATGAAGAAATAAAAATTATGGACATCTTTAAGAAACATGAGTATTCCATGTCACTGTATAAAACATGTATTCCTTATAAGTTATATGGATAAAAATAAATCGCTTGTGTCATGCTCACTGAGTATTTTATATCAGTGTTAAATGAGGAGTAAGAGAAAGATAGAATACATTGTAGCTGACAACATCCCCAAACAGGGTTAGTCATAGTCACATTAAAAGAGCTTGAAGAACATTGAAGACATTATGCTAAGAAAAATAACTCAGGCACAAAAAGATAAATATTGTATGGTTCCACTTTACATGAAGTACCTAAAATAGTTAAATTCATAGAGATAGAAAGTAAAATTGTGGCTACCAGTAGCTGGGGGAAGGGGGTAATGGGAAGTAATTGTTTAATGTGTAGCATTTCCATTTGAGATGATAAAAACAGTCTGTAGATGGATAGTTCATAGTACAGTAGAAACAACCCAAGGGACCATAACAAACTGGTCAACATAAGGAACTAGCACTGCTGAATTGATAAGTACATGTGGTGCATGTCTGGTCTGTGAAAATTAGGTTAACTTCAGAAGGTGGTCAGCTATGAAGGTTCTGTTGTATTTAGTACTGAACACTTAGAAATGGTTACAATGGTAAATTTTATGCTAGGTATGTTTTATCACTTTTTAAAAAAGAACTCACGACATTGAGTAGAACAGTTTGGAGGTAAAAGGTAGGATGATGTCTTTTCACTTATCTCCTTGGCATTTTTACCTTCCTACATATTTCCTAAATAAATTGCGCACATCTGTCTGTACTCTAGAGTAGTCATTCTTAAATCTTAGAGTTATTTCTTGGTGTTACTATGGATATTATGCTAGATTACTCAGACAAGCCAATATGAAACAAGATTGCAAACTACATTTCAGTGTGGATTCTGCTTTAAGAATGGGTATTCTTTTTTAGTTTTAATCTTTGGCTCTCTGCCCATTTAACCTTTGGTATCTCTGATTTATTGAACAAGTATTTACTGTGTGCTTTCTGTAAAGCAGGTACTATTTTGGGCAGTGGGAATCTAGCATTGAACAAAACAGGCAAAAATTCCTGTTTTAATGAAGAAGAAATTCCTGTCTCTAGCAACTTTGATTGAAGCCTAAGTGTGTAATGCAATGCTGTCCAAAATCAGGAGCTGATATCTATTCTCAGTAGTCATGTATATCTTCCTTCCTACCATCTCCATGGGTTAATATTATTCTCTACAGAATAGATTACTATATAGTGCCTGATAGTCACTTTAAAGTTATGGATTTATTAATATAGACCTTATTAGACTAATAGATTATATTTATTTTCAAAAATGATTAATTAATGACCCTATTTTGATTTCTTAGAGAATTCCATGTCACATCTGTATTCCATCATTTCTGAAAGACTTCACTGAATCTGTTCTCTGCCATTTATTTAATAGCATATGATTTTGGCAGGTTAGTTAAATAAAACTGAGTTGGTAATACTTTATGTGAAAAAGCTAACACTTTACAGTGCCTTTCCTTATTCATAGTAAGCATTAGTTCCTTTTACATTTTTCACTAATTACAGTTATTTCTTTATAAAATTTTGCTGATTGCATAATATCCACAGCTTGTTCATAGCATTTAGTACCTTCTGTTCTGCATTGGAGCATGCCAACACCTCTCTTCCCATCCTCATGTATCTTGTAGCCCCAGGACCACTGTCATGTTTTCCCACCTAGCTGAGGCCAGTTATCTTCGACTGCTATGATTAGATATCAATTCCTTTAACCAGAATATTTCTCATGGTGTGTGTCTGTCTCTCTTCCATATATATATGTAATGCATATGCCAGGTCGGTAGCTGTACTTGATTTACTGATCAAGAAACATCACCTTGAATAAGCGGCATGAAAGATAGTGCATTTACACTTATAAGAGCAGCCAAAAGACAGTAAGAAAGCAGTTTTACAAAGCAGAAGCTTAGGAAAACAAGACTTGGCTTGAGTGTCCACTGAAAGGAGGAAAAACGAGTTTGGGCCCATCGTCTCCTTTTACATCCTCGTGGGTTCTTTATATAAATTTTAGCCAGTTTTCTGAAATGCTTTCCTATATTCTTTCTGGATACTTTTTCTGCGGAAAGAACACTGACCAGGTCCTTCATGCTTTTTAAGTCAAAATTTTATCTAGCCTGGTCTTCTTTCCCACCCTTGACAACACAATGGGCCAGTTTAGAATCTTGGTCGGTAGTCAAAGTGTACATTAGGACTGAGCTGGTTTTCTTCTCAGAACAATTATTAACACAGAGGAATCATTTTAATTTTTAAGGTACATTTGCTAGAACTAATAAGTATTCTAACTAATATGACATCTAATTATATCATTTTACTTTTTTTAATAAGTGTTATAGAAAGATTGTAGGTAGGCTTGTATTAATTTTTCTAGGCATTTATCTTGTAAGCTGTGCTTAAAGTAATAAACCATAAGAAATATTAAAAGCATCTTTATCTTTAGCCTTTGCTTTTCCATAAAAAGCATTTGACTTTGTGTGAGATATTCAAAGTAATGCAAAGAACATGGCTGTTTTTCCTTAAAATTCAAAAACCTACTTAGTATATTTTTTTTGGAAAAAACTAGTAAATAAATATGGTTTTACAAATTTTCATTTCAGTTGCTTTTGCCAAGAGTAAGTTATTTGACGTTGGTAACTGACAAAGTGAAAAAGCACTTTCAGAAGGTTATGAGACAAGAAGACGTTAGTGAGATATGGTTTGAATATGAAGGCACACCACTGAAATGGTGAGTGAATTTTTCTGCATTATTAAGCATTAAATATATGCTAGATGCTAGCTTTAAAAAGGTATAGTGCCCTGAAAAGCTGTTTAAAAAGTTCTATAAAGAAAGAAATCACTAGTCAAGCTCATACAATAAATGAGGTTTAAACTATCATCAGAATATTTTATTGGAAATATTTCTCCCTTCTGTTTGGATGCATGGATGACTGGATAGATTCATATATTCTCAGCAGTAGATTTTTATATGGTACAGTAAGAGTATATTTGGTTATGTGGTTTTTCTTGGATGTATTTAAAACCCCCCTTCTATAAATCATCTCTGTGACACTATTCAGTTTTATTTCTCTTTCCAAAATGCTTGTAACAGATTATGTATGCATACGATTACCAAAGTGTTCTGGTTGTTGATGGTATTATTTGACCACTATATCATAAACACATCTTGACCAGACTTGGTTTAGAATATTTAAAATGTATTGATTTCCCTTTTACATGAAAAATAATTTTGATATTAATGCATTTTTAAGAAGGGTATTGAAAATAAATCCTAAATCTGGGCTTATCCAAGTATAGGTGATTTTTCTTGTACTTCCTCTGTTGTTGGGACTTTTGTTCATTGTGCTTGCAAAAATATTTAATGAAATCATAGAAGTTACAGAGAGAAAAATATTAAAAAATAATTCAGCATATACTGGGATGATGGTGTTGAAATGCTGCTATTTAAATGCAGCTGAACGAAAAGAATATAGGCTTAGATGGGATTTAAATGAAATATAAAAAATATAAATAGGTTAAAAATGAACTTGCTCTTTGAATCTGGGAATATTAAAATGGAGAGTTGTTTAATGAGACTTAGGGCAAATAAAAGAAAGTGAGTTAAGTGTTCAATAAATGCAGCTGAAGTGAATGTAAGGACTACTTATACAAGACTGGCTCGGTGCCCAGAGCCCAGTGGTTACAGCTCCAGCCACATACACCGAGGCTGGCAGGTTTGAACCCAGCCTGGGCCAGCTAAACAACAATGACAACTGCAACAAAAAATAGCTGGGCATTGTGGCAGGCGCTGTAGTCCCTACTGAGGCAAGAGAATTGCTTAAGTCCAGGAATTTGAGGTTGTTGTGAACTGAGACGCTATAGTACTCTATTGAGGGCGACATAGACTCTCTCAAAAAAAAAAAAAAAAAGACAAAGAAAGAGACAAGATTGTATTTTGTATTGCATTATGGGTCAAGGTTCTGGGAAGAGATGACAAAGTTGTCTTGTTATAGCACTCTTTATTAAAATCAAACCAATTCTGTGCTTCATGATTATGTATCAGACTCCTTATGACTCTAATAGTTCTGGATCTCAGGCTGTATCGATAAGGCAATGCTTTCTGTTTCTTCTTATTTCTCAGAAGAATTGGAGGTTTTGGAATGGGAAGATGGCTTAAAAGATGTGTAAAAGGAGCAATAATCAAGAGATGAGAGGGAAAGGAAGGAGGAGGAAAGACTAGGGGCAAGTAGCAATAGGATATACACATGCTGTGCATTCAACAGTTCTGTCTGTATTATGTTATTTACATTGCATTGCTTTATGTCTTCTAGATTATCCTAAGAGTTTGTATGACTAACAGGGCTTTTAAATTTTATTGTTAAGCAGAGTTTCTTAATAGGGTCACTATTGACATTTTGAATCCAATAATTCTTTGAATCCCATAATACCGAAGGAAAAGATGTATCTAAAGTCGTTAGATCATGAACTTACAACATGTCATAACTATGCTATCACACGTAGTAAGTTAACACCATCAAAACTAAAATGAAGACACTTGAATACAATTACCTTCATATAAACTCTCTAAAAGGGTAAAGAAGTTTGCTCTTTTACCAGTTTAGACAATTCATAAAAGATGGAAGAAAGAGCATAAATTGATATTCCTTTTCCCTTTATAATCTTGGGAAAATTTAGCAGCAGCTCTGGTCTGTACCCATAAGTACCAGCAGCACTCCCTCTACTCTTGATGATCAAAAATGTTTCCAAAGGTCCCTGAATAGAGGCAGAACTGCCTCCAACAGAGAAACTCTGGAAACTTTGAGAATCTTTAATTTAGCTTGTAGAGGGAGTGATCACTAAGTCATCATCTTTTGGTTGCTGTTTTATTCTATATGGTGTGGTGGTTATTCTGGTATTTGATATGGCTTGTAGTTTATAGATTTGTATTCTAGATATGATGTCAGTGAATGATATTTAGACCCATTTCTCTTTGTTAGTGTAGAAAAATGATTTTGGCTTAAATTTACCATGTTCTTACTTTGCTAGTATTTATCCCTTTGGAAGGTCTTTTATTAAAGAGTGAAATTCTTTACCCTTTTAGAGAGCTTATGTGAAGGTAATTATATTCAAGTGTCTTCATTTTAGTTTTGGGGGTGTTAACTTACTACGTGTGATAGTACTTTTATAGTTATGGCATGCTGTAAGTTCATCATCCAATGACTTTTGATGCATCTTTTCCTTTGGTATTCTTCGGTATTCCATATAAATGAAGAATGAGTAACTTCTAGAAGCATAAATGTAACTGACAGTTTCTGCGCTAAGTCTTGATCTTTTCTCTTTTTGTGCTTCTAACACAGCAATTTTCTCCTAAGTTAAAAAAACCTGACATAGGTCATCAATATAAGAATCTACCTGGCATTTAAGCAGTGGGCTTGCTTAATAGGATGATAATAATCCTATGAATTCCAGACAGTGCGTGAGAGCAGCTACCACTGCAACTTTGGAAGAAGGCATGGACTTCTGAGGCCAGGATGCAAGTGTCTTAGGAGTAGAGGAGCATTTATGTGAGTGGATAGATATATGACAATGTCTTTCCTATATTTGATTCTTTGGAGTTTTAAGTAAATTCAAGCAGGGAGAGAAATCAAATGTCAGTTTAGACAATTCATAAAAGATGGAAGAAAGAACATAAATTGATATTCCTTTTCCCTTTATAGTCTTGTTGCTGGTTCTGTCCCATATTAATTACTTAAGTTTGTCTTTATGTGTAAGGTGACAGTACTCTCAAAGGTAAGAAAAAACAATCTGAAATCCTAGACAAATTGTGACCTTTATCATGCTCTGATGATAAAATACGACTCTGCCTTCCTTTTGGGAGGCTCTAGGGTGAGAATGTTGGGACTTTGTCTTTTGAAATAAATATTGGTTTTAAGGATTTTTAAGATATAGTATATATAGTCAAATTAGCAGTAGTAGATAATAGCAGAATGGAATATTCTTAAAATAGGTTGTGTTTTCCCTCTACTGTTAATTCTTTCTTACTATTCTTGTTTTTCTACTTGGTTAACAGACTGTGTGAGAAGGAAAAAATGATCTCAGACATATAATTTCCATGGAGTAAACTTTATCTTTTTTGGAGTATGGTTTGAGACAGGTCTTTTTTTTTTTTTGTATATAGTTGTATAATTATTACCACAGTCAAGATAACAGAATACAATAGAACCTCTACATCTGACCACCTTCCTACATTGGCCACCTTAACTTGACCTAATTTTTATAGACCGGACATGCACCACATGTACATATCAATGTAGTAGGCCTAGTTCCTTATGTGGACCACCTCCATATTCTGATCAGTCTTTTACAGTTCCTTGTGTGTGTGGGGTCAACTTACAGAGGTTCTGCACAAGGGTGCCCAGCCTTTTTTCTTTTCTGCCACACTTTTGGAAGAATAAGAGTTGTCTGGGGCCACACATTAAATATGCAGACACTGAGGAAAGCTGATTAGCAGGAAAAAGGTCCATGCATGCTTTTCTGTGGCATCTGACAACACAGATAAGCAAAAGAAGTCCTCACAAAACCAGCATACATACATACAATGGGCCACTAATTCAGCCTGTGAGCCACAGGTTGGACACCCCTGTACTGTATTTCTGTTACCTGACAGATTGCCCGACGCTCCTTTACAGTCAATCCCCTCATTCTCCCCTCTAATTCTTGGCAATTACTGATTGCATTTCTATCCCTAGTAGTTCAGTTTTTTTCCAGAATGCCATTTAAATGGAATCGTGTATATAGATATAGCCTTTTGTGTTTGACTCCTTTCACTTCCAGCAGTGCTTTTGAGACTGATGCATGTGCAATAGCACATGCCAGCGTTTTCTTTCTTTTTATTGATGAATTAGTGACACATTGTATGTATGTATTTGTTTATTAAATGATAGCCCTTGGATTGTTTCCATTTTAGGGCTATCATGAAAAAAAGCTGCTATAAACATTTGCCTACAGGTCTTTATGTGCCAAACCATATATATTTTAAAAGAGAAAAATTGTTGCTGCTTGTTCACTGTTAGAATATAGAAATGTGATGGTTTTTATATTCTGCAACCTTGTCAAAATCAGTTATTAGTCCTTGGTGTTCTTCTCAGTTTTAAGAGCTAAGTATGCTCTTAACTGTAAGCTTTTTTATCAAGTTGAGGTCATTTTCTACCTAACTTGGTGAGAGTTTCTTTTAAAATCATGAATTAGGTGTTAGATATTGTCAAATGCTTTTTCTGTTCTATTATAATTAATGTGATAGTGTTTCCTTCTTTAGATTGTTGCTATGTAGATTTTTGATGTTGTACCAGTCTTGCCTTTAATTACATTTGGTCATGGTATGTGATTCATTTTATACATAGTTGGATTCAGTTTGCTAATATTTTGTTGAGGATTTTTATGTCTTAAATTAATGAGTGAGATTATCTGTAGTTTTCTATTTTTGTACTATCTTTGTCTGATTTGGTGTTATGGTAATACCAGCCTTATAAAATGGGTTGAGAACTGTTTTGTCCTCTAGTATTTTCTGGAAAAGATTGTGTAAAAATGCTATTAATTTTTAAAAATTTATTATTTATTTATATTAAATCATAGCTGTGTACATTAATGCAGTCATGGGGTACAATGTGCTGGTTTTATATACAATTTGAAATATTTTCATCAAACTGGTTAACATGGAAAATGCTATTAATTTTTTGAATGGTAGATATC